TGCACTGGTACACGGGCGAGGGCATGGACGAGATGGAGTTCACCGAGGCTGAGAGCAACATGAATGACCTGGTGTCCGAGTACCAGCAGTACCAGGACGCCACGGCCGATGAACAGGGGGAGTTCGAGGAGGAGGAGGGCGAGGACGAGGCGTAAGAACTTTTCAAATAAATCGTGCACCCTTAGTGAACTTCTGTTGTCCTCCAGCATGGTCTATTTGTATACTATGGTGCTCAGTTTTGCCTCTGTCAGAAATTCACTGTTGATGTAATAATGTGGATCTCCATACAAAAGCATGTGTATAAAACCTTGTGATTCTTCCTTTCCCTTCAGAAAATTTTTATTAATTAAATGTATAAGGTTTCAGACTTTAATCTTATCTGCAGTATAGGATTTGTGATTTTAATAGCATTCCTGATCATTCAATAAAGAGAATGAAAGTGTTTTTCTTCTTTACTGACCGACAGTAATAAAGCAATCTCTCACAAGTGATACAGGAGTAAAGCGGTTTGGGGATTAAGCAAACTGCCCTTTCTTCTTTCCTGGTGTTCCAGAAACCCAGGGAGTCTTTAGAGAAGGACTTCCTTCTTCTTAAGTTTTTCTCTTGAGCAAAGTGATAAATACAGATCAAAAGACAAGTGAGCTGGACCTCTCAGATAAAGGGTACGCTATAAATCCAAGCTGTCCTGACAATGCAAATATGAACACTACAAATGTGTCACCTAAGTTTTATTTGGAAAGACATTACGGTAGCAATTTATTTTTTTAGACAATGATAGAAACTCAATGCTACGAGATCAGATTCGGCTTTGTAAGCTGTGAAGGCCCGAGGCTGTCTTCACGGCATCATGATTAGGGTCACACTGTAGGGAGGGATTAGGAACCTGGAAATGCAATTGCATGCAGCTGTGATGTAGGGAAGGCAGCTCAAGGACACTGTAGCTGGAAGCAACATGATCGAGCTCCAAGCAGGATGCACCGAGACACGAGTTCTTAGAGCCGCTTTCACTGCAGGAAGTCTTCTGCTAACTTGTTGAACTCATTTGCAAAACGTAAATGCAGGTTGTGTTTCCCTTCTGGCATCAGATGCAACCTACAAAAAATATTAATAGCTTTTGATCTATGGCACACCACTTAAAGATCCCTTTCCTCTGCAACAATACCTCAAAATCCTAAAGCGCAAAACTGCCCCCAATTCCCGTGACTCCTACTGAGACGTGGAAGGTAACAGCCTAAACTTTCTCAGCTGTGGACGCAGGCGGACCCTGGTGGTCTGGCCAGCCTGAGGGGACTGTAGCACAGTCACTCAATAGCCACAGACACATTGTGCTGGAAAACCAAGAACTGGGGAGGTGCTCTGGTGGTTACTTTAAAAAATCCATTTTAATAAAACTGATTTTAAGAGAGAAGATTGGAGAAATGATAAAAATGTCCAGAATCCCCTTGGTTGGGGCAGGTTCCTTGGGTTATCTGTGTAGTGGGAAAGCACAAATCTGAATTCACAGCCACCACCAGCCCGCTCTGTTCAAGGTTCCAAATCGCCCTATCAGTTTTGGAGTACTGAGCAAATGAGCCCGAATACAGCCCCAGACAAGTGGTAGGATTCCTAAGGACCCTCAGGCGGGCAGGACTACATCAGCAGCCCTGTGCTGAGAGCCACTGCTGCAGCTCTCCCAGCTCATCTTGGGGGTCACCCTCTGTCCTGACAGGCTTCTCCCTTTCAGTGGGATGTGGTCAGAGGGGACTGGTTTGCAATTTCTTTAATAAAGACAACCTTCCCTGAGTTCAGTATTTATTAGCTGCTAGAGTATAAAAATGTTAAAACTGATAATAAGCACAAGTCTAAGGCATTTTGTCTATGACAGGTGCTGAAGGACTGTATTGGACAAGATTCCAGTGACCACATTATTTACTTCTCTGACCCAGAGTGGCGGCTCTCAGAACCTCAGTGGGACCAGGGAGGACTTGTGAGGAGGGGAGCTGTCTTTGCAAGATGCTGGCCAGGCCTCTGGCAACTCAGCCATGGGGAGGGGGATATAAAAGGAAGACAGACTGTTGGCATCATTTGGAGGTCCCTGGAAGGTTAATAACACCATTAATTAGTAGAACATAGTAATTCAATTTTAATTCTATTCAGAAAAGCATGTGTTGCACTGACCCCAGAGATAGGATCCCAGTTGGCTCCCGCACAAGGCTCGCAAGGAAGCTCAAGGCCTCAGTTTTAGAGAGACAAAAAAGAACCAGTTGCCAAGGATGCTGAAGGTCACAGAAGGGCAGACTGAGGCCAAACTGCATTCCCTTATCGAGCTAAGCTTGACTGTGAGGCAGATAACTCCGACCTGCCATGGAAGCGCTCTTCTGTGGACATCCAACCTCACTACTGTGAGCTCTAGCCCTTGTCTATGATTTGCTTGCTCCCTGTAAGAAAGGAAAGAGACACCAGCGGTAAATTCCTTCTTTTCAGCTGTTCAGTGCTGTCTGGACTCTTCCACTAGTAACCACTAGACCTTGGGGAAATCAAAACTATATGTGCTTCATTAAAAACATGGGAGACCTGCCTGGGACGATGGATGCATGCATAAAAAAATGGTCAGACAGATGGGGGGAGACAGATGGACATTTACACAAACAGGCAGATGGGCGAGAAAATGAAGGAAACCATTCTTGCTCTGGATCCCTTCTGAGGGTCACTCCACAGGCCTTGTACACCTTCCTTTCCGTGTCTGACGCAGAACTGAGTGAAACCTCTCCTGGTGCTCCTCCTTGGGAGTAAACACTGGCTGTCAGTGCCTGGCAGCAACTCTGCCGCTGACCTATCTCTCACTCAGACAACAAAGCGACCCAGTCACGCACCCCATCAGCATGGTTCTCGAGCAACCGTTCTCCAGCAAATTAGTAGAAACCCCACCGGCAACACGGGCTCAGCTGGCTAAGAAGGGGCGTCCAAGGGTGTATGTGAGTTCCTATTTGCAGGACCCGTTTTTCCATCATCTGGCACCTCTGGAGAGACAGGAGGAACCAGAAGTTGTCTAATCTGACACGCACTCCCAGTGGTCACCTTCTTTCTGCACGACGGAGCAACCTCATGGTGGCAATGGTGAGGCCCTAGCTTTACCTTTCCTTCCTCATCCTCAGGTTTGTCAGTTTTCCAGTTAAATTCGGAGGCCTATTGGTCATTCCCGGGCCTTAAGGAATAGGGCACTGTGCCCTCACTCTGGATGGATGTGAAAATACTCCCACTTATGAACGTGTGAAACCACCAGGAAGAGTGGGAACCAGAGGAGCCGCGGGATCTCTGCACTGACCTCCACCAAGAACATGGATGCAACACAGCCCAGGGCAGCCTTTCCTTTTTTCACTCTGCCCCTCATAGAAAGCCCGGAGGATAAAGCAGTGATGGGTAACTGCCAGCTTCTTCCAGCTGATAAAGGTGCGAGAGCCCACAGGCCCCAGCTTTACCCAGGCAGGCATTTGGGGTGGGGGGCCGACGTCTCATTGAGAAGCTCTGCTCTCAAATGCACCATGCTGCGTGCAGAAGACAAATCAATCTGCCACCAAAGCTGTTCTGCAGGCAATGCTGCAGCTGAGTAGACCACTTCTGCAGGGCCTGGTGGACTTAGACTTTTACGTGGGGCCCTCTGAGCAGTGAGTGGTCTTTCCATGGCAGGTGGGTGTTGTAGTGCCAGCAAGGGTTAAGTGCATGGGTGCTGTGGGGCCAGGACATGTCTGGTCTCAACAGCACAGACTCTGTCCTGGAAGGGAGCATCATTTCACTAAGCCACCATCCCTCCTCTGCACAATGGGGCAGCAATAACTTGCACTATGGGATTGTTCTGAGGATGAAATGAGAATGCATGTGAGGTATGCAGCCCAGCCTGCAGGCGCATAGTAAGCACTGGTCTTTATAAAGGCCATTATCAAGTTCAACTTATGTACAGCATATTAAAGAAGCACTCTGACTCAGGGAGCACGATTTTACTTATGCCTGCTGGCTGACAGACAAGCTCCAACTGGAAGATTCTTCCCTGAAGAAAAGTTCTGCAAAATGCGGGTAAGATGGGTCTAGAAAGGGCTGGGCTCTATTCTTTGAAATACGAAGGACCTGACTCCGTAGGCACTGGCTGGTTGTGTGTGGAGCCACTCCTGAGCAGAGCCCGGTGTGGCCTCCTGAGTGGTCAGCAGGGAGGAATTAAGTCAGTGCCAGGAGGAACAGGGGCGGGGTGGCCAGCAGTGTGGAAAGGCACCGGGCACCGGGCACTGAGGCAGGGATGGGGAGCCGATGCCCAGGCAGCAGTGGCCTCCATGGATGCTTCCACCACCACCCTCCCTTCAGTGTCTCTCTCTTCTCGGTAGCCTGGCCTCACTTGTCTATGCTGCTGAAAAGGAACCCTGGTCATTAGTGTGGATCTTTTTTTTTTTGGTACCGGGGATCGAACTCAGGTCCTTGTGCTTGCAAGGCAAGCGCCAACCACTGAGCTACATCCCTGGTCCAGTGTGGATCTTTTTCACCTTGGCACTTCATGTCACTCCAGCTGGTGTATGGCTCCAGCTGGCCTGGCCCAGGGGCAAGGGCTGTGTGACCACTGGTGGGCAGGCAGGAAGAGGCCCTTCCCTCCCTGCTGACCCAGACGGCCTGTCACACTGCCAGCTCACCCCCAGGGGGCATGAATACAGCAGAGCAGGCATCATCAGCACTTCCCCACTGGGATGGCTCATTTCGTACATCAACCTGATTGGGCCTCGGGTGCCCAGATGTTCGGCAAACATCACTCTGGCTTTGATAAGCACTTGAGTCAGTAGACAGAGTACAGCAGATGGCCTCCTCCAATCTGTGGAACGTTCGCATAGAGAAAAGGGGCTGACAGGTCAGTGTGATAGCCTGGCCTGTACTCCCAGCACTCTAGGGGGCTGGGGCAGGAGGGTGGCAAGTTCCAGCCTGGCACGAGGGACTTAGCGACACAGCAAGACTTTGTCTCAAAATAAAAAATAAGAAAGGACTGGGGGTGTAGGTCAGTGTGAAGGCTGTGGGTTCAGGCCCTGGTACCAGGAGAGAGAGAAAAAGGGGGGAAGGTGAGTAAGAGAGCCCTCCCTGCCTGATGACTTTCAGTCTGGACCTCAGCATTCTCCCGGCTGGAGACTGCCACTGGTCGGTCAGAGCAGAACCACCCTACCACTCCCTCGCCCTCCAGCTTCCATCCCCATGACCTTGGGACTTGCTGGGCTCCTCCGGATGAGCCCTTCTGCACACCCCTCACGTCTGTTAGCTCTGGCTCTCTGGACAACCACACACCGACCGAACCGTGGCGCCGGGGACAGAGGCCCACTGGCCCTGCCGAATGTCACATGATCCACCTTATCTCCTGGGCGCCCTGCAGCCGGACTCGCACTGGCATTCCATCCACAAGGTAGAGCCCGAACTGTGTGGCTCATGCCTTGGGAAAGGTTTTGAGATGCTAGATGTCATCACCCCCACCCTACACACAAGGATGCAGAGGTCCAGCAGAGCTTCCCAGGGTGCTCCAGGAGGCTCGGCTGGCTCTCGGAGCTGGGTCCCGACTGCCCTGCAGGACTGCCGCTCAGCATCACAAATGGCAACACCCCACTTCCTGCCTCTCCCATTCAGGTGACACAGACCCCAGGGGCTGAGTCTGCCCGAGTGGATGGGAGCCCAGGTTCTCTCCTGCCTGGCCTGGTCTCAGGGACCTGCCATGCACAGACGTGGCCCTGTGTGCTGCCTGCTCTTGCTGCTTCAAACAGCGTGCACCAAGCCCTTAACACGTCATTTACACCCTTGGAGGGATGTTCGAGTATTAAACGGCAGGAAAATTAAGTCACATGCTCACAGCTCCTTGAAATGGCAGAATAAGGGGCCATGTGGCTGACAAAGACTAGCGGGTGGAGGAATGGGAAGGAGGCAGTGACCACAGGGTCGGGGGTGGGCAGGGGATACGCTCGGGAGTCACCTGGAGGAGGAGCCGTCAGGCCAGGCAAAGGCAGGCCTGAGGGACAGAGGGAGGTGGGCAGGGGCTGCTCATCTGCAGCTGGTTCTGAAACCCATTCTGGTCTCTGAGGGGTCCCTAATTCCTGAGGTCTGAGCACCTCCTTAGAAACACTGTCTTGAGCTGAATTCTGTCCCCCTGAATTAATACGGTGAAATTCTAGAGTCTTTAAAGAGGCTTTAAACAGACCCTAGGATCAAAATGAAGTCATCTGGGGGGGGGAGGTCCCAATCCACTAGGTCTGATGTCCTTATAAGAAGAGGAAACTGGGAGCCAGGGATTTAGCTCAGTGGTTCGCCCGCTTGCCTCGCAAGGGCAAGGACCCAAGTTCGATCCCCGGGACCAAAAAAAAAAAAGAGAAAACTGGGACACAGGTTCAGAGAGATGATGTGAAGACGGAGATGACGGCCAGCTACCAACCACAGAGAGACTCGAAAGACACCAACCCTGCCGACACTGTGACCTTGGACTCCAGAACTCAGAGCAAACACCCACACTCCCCACTTCTGATGGGGCGAGGTCTCGATAAACCCATCATCGGTTGAGAATCCTGGGGCTGAGGGCACTGCTCAGTGGTAGAGTACATGGTCAGCATGTGTGAGTCCCTGGGTTCAATGCCCAGCAAAGCACAAAAACCCACACCACACACGAAGGCACTGTAACTCAAAAATGGATCTAACACACTCACCGCACTGGATGTCACAGCACAGCCTCACCTACCTTAGACGCGCTCAAAACGCTTGCATTAACCTACCATTACCACCGGGCAAAATCATCTAATGTGAAGACCATTTCACAATAAGACGCTATCTCCCATAAGCTACTGAGTACTGTACTGAAAAGGAGAAACGGAACGGGTGTACTGGTACCTCTGACATCACTGTAGAGTTGACACCTTGTGACATCAGGTGGGGGGAAGCGGGCAAGTGTCTGTAAATCTCTGTCACTGTCACAGCGGCCCTGGCTACTGACCACATCTTGAGCGCACACACGGCTGGGCCTGGCTGTGCAGTTGCACCTGCTTGTGGGCTGGCCCAGCCCCACTGTTCCCTCCCTATCGGTCCCCACCTCCCGACCCCAGTCAGAGGGGTCCAACCTCTCCTCTGAAAGCCTGCCCTGACTGTGAGCTGGGCTGGATTGTGGGTGATGCCACACCTGGTAACAGGAGCCCTTGCAGAGGGTGGTGAGCCAGGGAAGGGGCAGTGAAGTGGGCACTGGTCAGCACAGAAGGAAGTCTGGACACACGGGGCCCGGAGGCCAGGGATGGTGCAGGAGGACCGGGAAGGCAGACCGCCTGCTGCTGCAGTGAGGGCAGCTGTCATTGTGTTTCATGTTTTGACTTCCGTCTAAGACTCAGTTACAGGGAGGAAATCACTGCCTAAACACACATTTTTAAAACCATGGAACTTGACTGATCTGTGAAGCCTTTGTTTCCAAGAGACTCCATGACTCCCCGCCCACAAAGATAAATGAAGAGAGGAGAAAAAAATTAACACAGCCTGGATGCAGGTCTCACTGAGGAAGAAAAAGCAGCTTGGTGCCTACTTCACACACAGTATGTATTTCTTGGTGAAAAGCTGAAGGCATAGACAATGCCTGTAAGTTTAACCACAAATGCACCTGGCAAAGCAATGGGAAGGGAAGTACATCAGAAGCTTGCAGTGCTGAGCTGCTTCCTGTCATCAATGGCCTGGGACACAGAATAATAGGAGGATTTGGGTTCTCAAGGAATTCACCTTCCTTTTGTGGGTTCTCAAATAAAACAACCATGTTCCAGGAAAACTCATGGCCAACACAAAGGGCTTTTATAGCAGAGGGAGTAGAAATTATAGGCCAGTTTTAGACAAGCACCATCAGTAACACTTTACCTAAAATTCATTTGTTCCAAAGAATATTGCTTCAAGAAAATGATCTTCCATAAAAATAATCTGCTGGAACAATTAATATATGCATGGAAAGAGAGCATTTCTCTCCCATATCGATATATTCTGTTGCTAGGAGACAGGTCTGGGACAGAATTCCTGACCCAAACCACTGCAGACTGACTTTTATTGAACCTGGCTCTTTAAGGGAACACATCCAACTTACTGCATGTTAGTGTGCAAAAACTTGTGTTTTCTGAAGCTGGAAGACAATTAACCAAGCCACTTAACATATCATTCTAGGAATCTGAGCATCCATCAAGAGTGCCTTTATGAGGCGCAGCTGTGCTACCATGGCAAAGCATTGTATTAGGGGAAAAAATGTAGGATTTGTCATTTACTAACTATGCAAGCTTGAAAGATTGCTTAACATGATTCAGCCTTGATTTCTCATCTGTGAAACATATTTTTTCCATAAGTTTGCTGTGAAGTATAATGAAATATTGTATGTAAAATATCTTCTAAAATATAAAATTCTATATGGAAACATCAAATTGTACACTGTAAATATACAAAATTAAAATAAAACACAAAGACTGAGATTATGTGGAAAACTTTAGGAAGGATTAATAAGAAAATGAACTTTGTACCACAATCATTTATCATTACAATTTTATAAGTCTATTTTGGAAACTGCCTTACTGCCTACTAAGTCAATTTGTAAACTTCTCTACATCTTTATTTCCACCCACAATATAATCTTTTTTTAAAAAAATTTTTAAATTGTTAATCAGGTTTTTTTTTTTTTGTACTGGGGATCAAACTCGGGACCTTGCACTTGAGAGACAGGCAGCGACACCACTGAGCTAAATCCCTGGCCCTCACCATATAATCTTAATCTAAGCTCTATCTTTAGTCTTTACTTACTCTATATTCAAATGGAACATGGATTATTCATTACAGATGCTCATTTGTTTATTTATGCTTAAACTTGTATAGGAGGAAATATGTGGAATAAAGAGATGCCTTTTATTTTAAAGAATGCCATATAGGTAGTATAAAGGTTTACAGTGATTGTATTTTTCTGCAGAATAAGAAATATTTCCCCACATTTAAAATCTGAGAGAAATCTACAGTTAGAAGAGCCCCAGGAGGAGGCAGGAAAAAGGTTTCCACTCCTTCCCCTGGGGACTACAGGTGTGGAGGGCTGGGACCACTGCTAACCACCTGGAGCAGGATGGGCCTGGTAGGCACTGGGAACAGACATATGGGGGGGGGGTTCTTATGTCTCTAATCAAGCCCAATTGCCAAAGATCTTCATGGAATCCAAAGACATCCTGAGTAATTCTGAGCAGTCTCCGAAGGGCCAAGGCTCATTTGGATGTTAATTTTCTAATATACTTGCTTCAAAACAGAAATCAGGCCACTGATCTCCCCATCACACCCCACTGTCACCAGGGTATGTATCTCCTATGTGTGAAGGCAACAGGTCTGTACTCAGCTCCAGGTTTCTGTCTGGCTCTTGTGCCAGCCGAGGTATCTAAAACACACATTTCCATTTCACGTAGTAATTGATGGGACTGGATAACAAGTGCTGCTGACATATCTCACGGGGCTTTCTGATGTCAAAGTTGGCTGGCAGAGATAGGACGGAAAGACCAAGGCACTGCCATTTAGTCAGGCGAGCTGCCAGGACGGCTGCTGCACGCTATCCTCTGTGATGCTCAGTAACAGATTTCTCATTTGGGTGCATCCATATTTCAGGCCGAAAAAGCATGAAAAGTTTACCGCGTAATTTAAAGTGAGGAAAAAAGCAGGGTTCAAAGTTGAATATAGCATGTGATTGTATGTATGTTGAAAATGGCTAATAATGATAGTATTTAAATGGGTGGTGAGCAAAGGGCAGCCATTTTTTTCTCTTTTTGGTTTTACAAATTTATTTACTAGGTAGGAAGCTTTTATGATTTAAAAAAAAACTAAACTAAAAGTTCCCAAAGTACATGCAACGGTGTCAGTAAACCACGCCTGGATAAATCTAAACTGTGGCCACGCTGTAAAACTCAGGGCCTGCTCACATATTCGCCCTTCACAACAGCAAAGGACCCGGCTCAGAAGGGTCCCTTCCTTCCAATCCCCCTCCCCGCCAGTCAAGGCCACTGTCCTCCTCCCGCCAGGCCCTACGCACAGACACTCATTTACTGACACTGGGCCCTGGGGCAGGGGTGAGACTCACTGTGACCCTCGCACGTGCTTGTGCAGGAAGTCAGCATGAAAACGTGGGACCAGAGGGTCCTTCTCTCCGTGCACAATGAGCGTGGGGCACTGGACCTGGGGCAGCAGGTGCCGACAGATGTTACCTGAAAGACAAACAGCACCGGCACTGGCCTGAGGCAGGAAGGACGCAGCTCAGACCCGTCCAGTGGTCTGGGCTGTGAATGCTCCCCAGAAGCCTCAGGGCTAAGGCCGGACCTAGAGAGGTGCATTAGATAGAGCGTGCTGGCTTCTTGGGAGAGGCACTGGGACGTCTCTAGGTTCCTGGGGACACGAGGCCCCAACCTGTCCTCTTCCCTCTGCTTCCTGGTGTATGATGGAAGTGGTCCTGTTCTGCCACGCACCCGCCGCATGGGTGGCTGCACTAGGCCACTGTCATGCAGTGGGACCTTCAGAGCCGTGAGCCCAAACACACCTTCCTCCTGTGAGACAGTTACCTCACTCACACGGGTAGTCAAGGGGAGCAAGTGCCCCTCTGGGGGTCTCAAGTATCCTGTCTGTGAAATCAGGGTCTGGATTCGGGGTTCCCTCCAGCTCTAACATCCTTGGGACTTCCTTTTTGCTTCTCTTTGTTTTACAGTTCTAATAGTAAACAAGCACCTTTGTCAGGTTTAAACTCGTAATTCGTGTAGAACTGTAGGAAAATCAAACAACAGAGGGGCAGCCCATCTACCTCTGGGGAGATGCCTGGCACTTGGAAAGCTCTTCGCAGTTACGACGGACATCACCATTAGTGTCTCGGTGACCGACCTGACTGCCATCCCTCTGAGAGCTTTTGAGGACCTAGTCCCCATTCAGAGGCATTTGTGGTCAGCCTGGGCTGTAGTTCCTGTGCTGCCATTTCCTGCCCCTGAGATCCTGGTGGCTCCTTAAACACTTTGGGCCCCAGCTTTGACCAGGAATAATTACTGTGCCCTGCGGTTGTCACGAGACTGAAAAAAAGAGCCACTCAGAAGGCTCTGGACATTCACGAAGCCAGCTCCATCCTCCTCCTCCCTCCCTTCCTTCCTGGCTGTCAGAAGGACAGCGCAAGGGCAGAGCCAGGCCACACAGTGCTGCTTCTGCACACTGGGCTCTGCCCGCCTCTTCAGCTGGTGGCAGCCATCCCCCAAGGAGAGATGACTGCAGACAACCCCTTCAGGCTCTGAGCCTCCATCTCCTGTCCCCTGGATGGCACACACCACGAACTGTGTTGTCAGATGGTGATGGAAGCCAGTGTTACTGAGCGCACACTGTGCCAAGGAGTGCTGGAATCACTGTGCACTTGTTAGCCAATGCAGTTACAGGTCCAAAAACATTCAGCAGGCACAGTCACTCGTCAATGGGTACTTTTCTAATAACAGTAATAGCTGCCTGTTGTGATCCACGCTGCACGTAGCAGTGCACCACGGCTGAACCTATATTATCTTATGTCATCCCAAGATTATGAGGTCACAGACAGGAAACTGAGGCTCAGAGGAATGAAGTCACTTGCCCACATCCACCCCAACAGCAAGCCAAGTGTGCAGCCAGAAGTCAAACCCAGGCCCGCCCGGCTCCAAAGCTGTGGAATTAATCCCTATGCTAAACTGTATGTACATCACCTCCAGTGTGCATTATGGGAAAAGGGCCCCTGCCAACAGCACAGACGGGAGATAAATCATTACTGGTCTCACCAGCATGTAATCCCCACACTGCTGGGCCCTCTATATCAGGACATGGTTTTCAATTGTGGATTTAACTCTATGTTCGCTTTTGGATCTTATCTTCTCACTGCCCTCTTCAATAAAGTATAAAAGTTTATATTTTATAATGTGAGGTCATTAATGCATTAATGGAAAACTGTTTCAGACATTGTTTTATGGTATTTTTAATTTTAAGAACAGAGGGAAGCCAGGTGTGGTGGTACACCTGTAATCCCAGTACTAGGGAGGCTGAGGCAGGAAGATCACCATGAGTTGAGGCTAGCTTGGGCTACACAGTGAGTGCAGGGCCAGCTGGAACTATACAGCAAGACTCTGTCTCAAAAAACCAAAAAAAAAAAGAATAGAGGGAAACCCATTTCAGGGGCCTGTTTTTATGGGAGCTACTGCATTTAACAGGATCACTTTAAGGCACGTATCTGTTGTTTTCAATTTAATCTGTAAATAATATTTCCAAAGGCACTGTTCATTGTGCAAGTTTTGATAACATGATTCATACTGGAGATGACTGCCTGCTAGATGGAACAAACTGGCCTTTCCATCACAAGCAGTTTGTTCAGACCTTGTGCTTGCCAAGCAGGTGCTGTGCCGCTGAGCTACATCCCTGGCCCAAATATAAGAACTTTTTTTTTTTGTACATGAGATCAAACTTAGGACCTCGTGCTTGCTCCAAGATTAGATCTTAGCAGCTCTAGTCTTTCAGCAAGTAAAAAAACAATTAACAAAAACCCCTAGGAAAACAGTGAGATTCTAGTTTCGTTATGGTTCAGGTCTAGGGTGTTTTCCAGAGACCCATGTGTAGAAGGCTTGCTCTCTAGAGTAGCGCCCATGGGTGGCCGTGGGCCCTTTAAGAGGTGGGGCCCTGGGGCGGTCTTCAGGTCACTGGGGGCATGACCTTGAGGGCAGCAGGATACCAGGCTCCCCCTCTTTCTCTCTGCTTCCTGTTTCTGCTATGCCACCTGCTCCCGCCATGGCTCACTGCCTTGCCATAGGCCCTAAAACAATAGAGCCAACTGACCATGGAGTAAACCTCCAAAACTGTGAGTCAACTAAAACACTTGTATTAAGTTCATCATCTCAGGTATCTGTTATAACAGAAAGCTAACATATAGCTGTATAAAAATACACTGTAATTCAGAATTCCTTTTAAAGACACCAAAAATACCAACTCTTACTATTCATGGAAATCTTGCTAATGTCCAGGTAAAAAGAGAGATACTCACTCACGGCTAAGGTCACATAACTTAGTTCTGCAGATGAGAAAAGTACTAAAACTCTGTTCCCTACATGATTTCTTCTGAGGTTGAAGATCATGAAACTTCCTCTTTGTGTCCTAGTAACAGATGTGTAGTGGGATGACAGCTACATGGACAAAAAGGAAAAAACATTGTCTACATTGCAGCTGTTTGTTTTCTAATTACCCATTCTGGAATTAGAAAACAGAAAACAGAGGCTCCTGAAGAATTATTTTGTCATCACACACACAAAGGACTGAGGAAAAAAGAACAGTCTACTTGTAAAGGCTCAACAATATGAACCTTTATACACGAGCCCTGTCTCGAGTTCAAGGCAGACTATTATACCAGAACGCATATTGTGCGCAATGCCTAGGTTCTCTATTCACACGTCACTGTGCAAGGGCAATGGGTGGATTCATGAGCCGCTGAGGAATGCTGGAATACCAAGGAGGCCTCCACCATCCTCTCTACTCAGCAAAGGAATCATTAAATTGTCGATGAAACCTACCATCTAGATGTTTAAACTGTTGCATGCCATCCACCCACTTTGCACAGGTTTTGGCAAAGTAGTCATACCCATACAGGGCTTCTAGAGGCTTCCTCGCCTTCTCACTCCATTTAGAAACATCTCGGATACCTGAAAAACAAAAGTGCTGACTGGATGAGTTCTGTCTCACACCAAGGTGGTATCTCCCCTACCCCAAGCTCCAGCTACCCCTGAGCCTCACATCTGCGGATCCATCTGCCAGGACGGCCTTCCCTTGCGTCCATCCGCATGCTGGCTCCCTGTCAGTGAGCGACTCGCCCACCTCCAGATCCCTCCTCTCCCGCTCCTCCGCCTAGCACTCTCTGCTTTGCTGTTTCCTGTATCAGTGATTGTGTCTGCCTCCCCCTTAGGGCATGCGCCCCAGTGCTGCACCTCTGTCGCAAGGCCTTTGCCTCCCACAAAACAGGCCCTCAGTAAATACTTATCACAGGGATGCAATCAGACCTGCACTGAGTGCTTCATGTTACACTGTGAGATAAAGGAAAACTCCCCTAAGCAGGGTCCCTGAGCGCGAGGGGCACCCTGTACCCCACTGGTATCTGGAGGGATTGGTCCCGGGAGGCCCCGTGGGTTCCAAACTCTGTGGGTGTGCAAACCCCTCTCTAAAGTGTAGAACCTGCATACATCTTCCTCAGACGTCCAGTCTCTGCCAGATGACTACGACAGCCACACAATTTAAATGCTATGGAAGCTGTTGTTACACCGTATTGACTGGGAACAATGGCAAGAAAAAAACTCTGTACACATTATGTATAGATATATATTTTTTTCAAATATTTTCAACCATGGCTGCTTGAATACAGGATGAAGAACTCATGGATATAGATACAGAGGGCCAGCTATATTTGTAAAGGAGTTTTTTTCTGGTACACTGAGAAACATATGCAAATTGTTCATAAAATAACAAGTTCTGCTACTGAAGAAATAAGTTAAAAACTATCTTTAGTTTTTAATCCACAAAGGCAATTACTCAGCTCAATTTTTTCTGTATTTCTTTAAACACTGTGATAAAGATCCTAGTGCTCTTGAGCTTAATAAATATTGCTGAGGGTTTTCAGGGCTTCTGCTAAAGGACACACCTGAGAGACAAGATGACACTGACAAAACGAACTCACATCAAGAATACTCCACGCAGAGTTTGGACAGTGTGGGCACTGGCAGGACTCCACATGCACTCACTGAATGGAGGGAAGACTGCTGCTTACAGGACTGCCTCTGACCAGGGTGGGGTGTGACGGGAGGGACCTGCCCTGGCTTCTGTGGACTGGCGTCAATATTCAGAGGTGAGCTGGGGTGAGCTGACTATGGGAACAGGAAGGGCTGAGCTACTCAGCACAGCAACCTAAGGACTTCAGAGAGGCATGACGCAGCCAGGAAATCAAGATGAGGGGAGGCTGGAGAAGAAGAGAGAGGAGAGTTGCAGAGTGGGAAAAGGAGAAAAAAGTCGGCAAGATGGTGCGAAGAAAGCCAGTAAAGTTTCCCCTGGAGGGGCTCATGGGGTCACTCAGTAGCAGATGGTGTGTGTCTGAGACCCGAGGTCGGACTTCCAGTACCTCCCTCCCAAATTATAAAAGGGCCCCTCTGGCAGCCATGCCCTGAGGAGGGTCCGATCTTGCACTAGAAAAGCTAGATCTTCCAGGACACCTAATCCCGGCAGAGTAGGGGACAGGAAGGAGGTAAGTACTGAACACGTCTGAAGTGTCTGTGAGAGCAGAGAGTGGGCTTAGGCAGAGGCTCCAAGGGCCGCTCCAGGGGGAAGGCAGCCCCCAGCAGGGAGGGGCAAATGTGGGTCTTCTGAGCTCAGGCTCAGTTGTTTCTTTTCAGGTTATGAGTGACAGTTCGCCACCTGTAACACTGTGTCTGAGCACGTGACCCTCAGCAATGTCACACGCCCTGAAGACACTGCGATCCTGGGGCCTGGTGACAGTAGGGTGAGTTTTGCAGCAACACGGGAGATAAACCAGCTGTCCACTGGCAAGAGGCCGGCCAAAGAGTGTCCCAGTGTCCCTGAAATATAGCACAGCAATGGAAGCAATTGCCAGGCAACTACAAGCAACATCATGAATGAATCGGAGAAATGCAAGATGCTGTGAAAAAGGCAAGTCAGAGAAGATGATTCACAGTGTGAAGCCGCTTCTGCAAAGCTTGAAGACAACTAGACTGTGCACTGTTTAGGAATATAAGAGTGTGCAACAGGACTGTTTTCTCAAAGGCATAGAGTGGATTCTAAGCTCAGGTGGAAGCTGGGGTGAACTGGGAGGAAGCACATGGACACAACAAGGGCATTAGCGGTGATCAACCATGCGCTCCAGGCTGGGTTCAAGGATGTCCTGCTTCACGTATGGTTTGACTTGTACCTATCACAGTAAAAAACCAATTAGGAAAAAAAAGTTCCTGGGATGCAAAGGTCCAGACCCTTTAAGAACCAACTGACCAATGTTCAATATGAAGACATTTTTCTTGCTGAAATATAAAGTTATCATAGTGGGCTGAGGATTTAGCTCCACTGCCTGCCTCACAAGCGCAAGGTCCCGAGTTCGATCCCCGGTACCAAAAAATAAAAAAATAAAGTTATCATAGAGGGATAGCAAGAGATCCTTGTAATAAACTCACATAGTAAAGGCAGGCATGGGGAGAGGTTATCAATGGGATGTCAAGTCCAGGGCGAGCCATCAGACTCCCACAGGAAGTGATATCTGAGTCCCCAGGGGCAGGAAGCCAGGTGCAGCTGTATGAGCCAGATGTGCACATCAGGCACGGCGGTCAAGGGCCATGCCTGGGTGAGCCCAAAGCTCTGCCCTAACTCACTCTGCCACAGGGAGCCAGGGATCTGACCCTGCTGCAAAGCAAACAGTGCTGTGGCTTCATCAGAAAAACAAGGATCCTAGTAATATTCTGGGGTACAAAGTATATAAGTTAATACATAAAATGTGCTATCAACAGTGCCTAGGGCCGGGGATTTAGCTCAGTGGTTTCGACGCCTGCTACGCAAGCGCAAGGACCCAAGTTTGATCCCTGGTAACAAAAACAAAAAAAACAACAGTGCCTGGCATGGAACGTGCACTCAAAAATATCCTTTGTATTTACATATTTACTTCAGCTAATTTATTTCAAGAAGCCAGTTTTGCCCCAAAGCATAATTACTGCTAAAAATTAAGTAGTAATTATGTTTCATGATGAAGTTCTCAAAATAATCATTTGAATCAAACTGTTTGCTGATCTAAAACAGAACTAATTTGGATCCCAAAGAATCAGATATATTCTCTTTCTGAGTACTGGAACGGTAATGAAGAGAACTTGCTCGCTCATCATTGGTTTGTGAACACACCCACAGGCCATGTGAAAGCTGCTGTGCATCAGTTGCCACTGACAACCTGCATGAGACAAGGACTCTGCCTTCAAGGTCCTCATGGCCCAGGGAGGAACTTACAAACAGCAACTGTCGTACAGCGGCGCCTCACCCATGACAGATGTCACATTTGAGAGCCCCTGGGATGCCCGAAGCCACAGATGGCACTAAACCCTGTAAATACAGACAGCATGGTTTCTGCTATACATCCCTGCTATGGTAAAGCTTAATTTACTGCCTTCTAAAGGACTCTTGCCGATGAGGACAAACGACTGTCAGAGGAAAGGACCTGACCCGAGCGGGGGAAGGAAAAGCAGGGTGGTAAAAAGCAAAGAGGATCATGGGTCCAGCAGCAGCAGAATGCAGTCCGAGTTTGGTGGAAAGGGAAGAGGGAGGCTGGCACCCCAAGAGAGGCCTCAGGCTCGGGCTCACATGCCCAGGTGGACTGTGGGGCAGGACCTAAAGAACAGTGAGCAGGATGAGGGACAGGAGAGGTCAGGAACTAAAGAACTCAGTTTCAGATCAAGGCAGGCCATGTTGTGGGGCACAGAACAAACCTTTAATAAACCTCCAAGAACTGAATTCACAGAGTGTGCTTTCTGAATCTAATGGACTTAAACTAGATACTAATAGCATAAAAATATCTGGAAAACTTCAAGTATTTGGAAATTAGATAATATACTTCTCAAAAACTATGGGTGAAAGAGAAAGTCTGAAGGGATATTAGAAAATGTTCTGATCTAAATTAAAATACAACATATCAAAACTTGTAGGGGCATGGTGGTGCATGCCTGTAATCCCAGCACCTGAGAGGCTGAGGCAGGAGGATCACTGGGAGTTTGAGGCCAACTTGGGCTACATAGTGAGTTCAAGGCCAGCCTGGACTACACAGCAAGACCCTGTCTCAAACACCAAAAAACAAAGTAAGACAAACAAACAGAAACTTGTAGGAAGCTCACATGTAGCAGCACTTAGAATAAAATTTATGCCATTAAATGCTTACAGTAGAAGAAAGGTCTCAAATCAGTAACCTAACCTTCTATTGTGGGACTAGGAAAAGAAAAATCAAACTGAAACCCAAAGGAAGCAGAAGGGAGAAAATAAGAATGATCAGAGCCGAAACAATGAAACAGTGGGTAAAGGATGAAGGGTGGTAAGGTGGCAGTCACAGGAGGAGGGGGGATGCTTTGGAGGAGGGGCGGCACCCACCTCTGCAGGCTGACAGCAAGGGTCCAGGGGCTGGAAGTGGGAGGCTCGGGAGGGGCAGAGGCTTCCGAGCCACAGCTTCCTCTGCAGGAGGCCAGCACTGAGCCAGTGGAAGCACAGGACAGTGGGAAGACAGGCAGGGCTGGTCACGAAAGCAGACTCACCGCTTAGGAGTCCCCATGTCTTTCTTCACAGGACATTTGCCTCTGGAGCTTACTAAGGCCTCCAAATCGCAGAACAATGGAAAGATAGTGAGCCTCATCCAGGGTCTGCAAACTATTTTTGTGCAGTGACAGAGCAACTTTCGAAACAGGCTTTGTGTAGATACTGACGTGTGAGGGGAGAAACGCCTGCTCCATCTAGACCTGCCTCGGGGCTGCTGGAAGCAGACTTGGGACCAGCGCTGCCAGCCTGAGGAGGTGGTGAGCTGACCCAGGCCAGCTTCCCCTTTCGCCTAGGAAGTGGGGGTGGCCAACCCAGCTCGGGCTCCAGGCTCCGGCTCGGGCTCACAGATGAGCTTCTCTGATTTCCACCCACACTTTACAAAAGGTGACCCACAGGCTGCAGTTTGCTGGCCCCTGCTCTATGCTGCTAGCTCCCGAAAAAGAAGCCTGAGGGGCAACCTTAACAAGGAAAACAGCACAAACATTCCTGGAATCTGGATATCAGGGCTCACCTTTGAGTCCTTTCACACTCTCTGACTTCAGAGGAGGTTACGAGTAACCCTTCCCATGCCCTTCCCTGAGTCACTGTCAATGGCAGTCAATGCAGATACTGCCTTTCCCTAGCCTTTTCCTGAATCACAGGAGTTCTGCTTCTGGAAATAGAAAGACGGGTTAAATCGAACTGCTCTTCTGAGAACTCCTGATTCTTCCGGCCTCAGAGTCGGAGCTGGAAGTGGACGGGCCACGAGTGCTCATCACATCAAAGTCAGAGGCGCGAAGGGAGCAAGAGGTGCCCGACCTCCCGCCACCGTGGGGGCAGAACCTACCCTCATAGATCCTTTGATCCTCATCAGTAATGTAGGCGATTGCCCCCCAAATCACCATCTTGCTGATGTGGGCCGGGTATTTGGCAGCAGCGATGAGCGCGGTCAGGCCGCCGCCACTCCACCCCAGCAGGGAGACCTTCTTAAAGTTCAGCGCCTACGACAGATACAGTGAAACACGCGGCAGTCAGTGCTCCTCTGTGGGCCTGAGCGTAGATGACGACCGGGATCAGTGTAGGTCTGGGGCCTGGGGTATCAGCAGTAATTCAGGAAAAGTCCTGATCATCCCACCACTTGACAACATAATGCTCCCTCTCATTTAGCTTTGGTAGAGATGCAATTGTCACAGGAACAGAGTACACAGCACTGGCTGACTTGTGAGGCAGCTGCATTTCTGCTTAGGCGAAATGTCCAGGAGTAGATCAGTGGCCATTACCTGTACTGGACATGGCAAAGGGTGGCTCCACCTGTGTGTGCACACGAACCTGGACAGGGCTTTGAGAACAAGTGTGCAGCTTAGAGAGGGACTGCAGATTTGTTGGGGAAATGAAGTAAGGTCTCTGGTAAAGCCACTGACTGCAGCTGTGGGAAGAGCTGACCGGAGTCAGGTTGGAAGAGAACAGTGTCATAGGGAAGCTGTAAGTCCCTGGGTGAATCACCCAGGACCTGAAAATGTGTTTAGCAAAGAAAATGGACACAGATGACACCTGGGAGATGCTGCCTAGGAACAGAAGTAGAATAAAAGTTAAAGAATTAACAGACATTAGTCCAACAGATTTGCTGCTGGGATTATACACTGGTGTAACTACTATGGATAACAGTTTGGCACTATGTTTAACTGAATATTTGCATCTTCTACAATCCAGCACATCGTCTGCGAAGTTCGTATGAAACTCTCACACACATGTACCAGGAGACAGGCTCAGTATGTCCACAACAACATTGCTCGTAACAGCAAAAAAATCAGAACTGAAGTGTCCACAAACAACAGAATGTGCACTGTACTCCCATGTGATAGGAGTCACGTGGTGTTACCTTGTTAGAGAGAAAGGACAAAAATTAGACAAAATAAGTGAAGAGATGCCCGGCTATCCGCCTGAGCCTTCTGTGAGAGACCCACCTTCATCAAATCCACCGCATCTTTTGCATCTCGTTCATAAAAGTCCACCGGGAAATCTCGGTCTGGGGGCCTGGAATGCCCATATCCTCGAGGGTCCCAGGCAACCACGGTGAAGAGCTTCTTGCTGAGGCTTTTAAGTTGGGGTCCAAAATCTGTCTCTCCACTTCCTGAAAACAGACACTTGGTTACCTCTGGTGAATGCTTTCATTGTATCAAACACATCAGAGTAAAAACAGAAGCAGCAAAAATCTTATAAAGCAATCAAAACTGAATCCGCAAAGTAGTCTGGGTTGAAGACTAACCCAGAGCTCAGCCCTGCTTCCGATCGCCCTCTAGTGGCTGTTTTGAAAAGGACGGGGACTTGGGTCCTTCCGTCTGTGCGGTATTCTCTGACTTTCATGCCTCAATTTAAATCCTCTCAGCCTCATTTTTAAAGAATTAATGAAACCGTATAAATAAACTTAGCTACATGCTGCGCTTCTGGGTTTTTAAAAAATAAATTATTTTCAAATGAAATAAATCCCAATAACATCTATAAACAAATTTATTACATTTGGTCTAAATTATTCAAAGGAGAATTCTAAAATTCCAGATTTTTAAAACTGAGCTAATATGAATAGCCCTGAAGATTTTATTTTGTAGTTATAATCAAAAATCACTGAAAAGGGCCGGGGATTTAGCTCAGTGGTTCCGGCACCTGCCCTGCAAGTGCAAGGCCCCGAGTTCAATCCCCAGTACCAAAAAAAAAAAAAAATCACTGAAAAAGGGTGTATGAAATAAACCAGTTTCTTTCATTAAAATAATACAAAAGAGCCTCCACTAACAAGCAGAACTGCGCTGAACCTCAGGCAGCCTTGACAGCCTCGGCCACATGGTCATGCAAGGCTGGCGTGATCACCCCATTGCACTGTGCAAGGCCACACCCCAGGAGCTAAGTTCAGGCCAGGTCAGCATTTTTCTGCAAGGTCTGCTTGATTTCTGAGGCTGCAAGTGAATACTGAATACCTTGCCTGATCGATTATGCAGTGTGATCAAACTACACAGTGAATGTTCACATTTTAAAAATTATTGTAATAAAAGACACACTGCCATGAATCCCCCTCAACACATTTTCCCTTGCTGCTTCTAACACATTTATCCCATTGTTCTTGCCACTTCTGAAGCAGTTCTGAAAGTCCTCTTTCATGAGTGTCTTTATGAGATGTGATCAAAAATACCATGAATGTTGCTGCCAAGTGCCATCCAACAGAAAGGCAGTCTTGTAAAGACGTGACAGTGCGTCCTCATCCGCCTTATCCACAGGATCTGGCACTGTGCAACTTTTGCCTGCTCCTTAAAATTCAAATGACCATAAAAGGTAAATGTTTTAAATGAATTCAGCACGTCAAGGCAGCCATCAGAGCACAACGAAAGACACTCACGAAAGAGGACTTCCATATCTGCTTCAGCAAGCGGCAAGAAGGATGGGATAAGTTCAAAGCAAAGGGGAGTATTTTGAGGATTTGTGGCAATGAATCTTTTATTATAACACATTTGTATTTTTCCAAAACAATGCATAGCTGTAATAAAAATGTAATTCCAGAAGACGGAGGATCACTTAACATTACCAAGGTCCAGCATGCTCCCCACCAAGATATTCCTTTCTCAAGATTGGACAAATCATGCAGGAAGTCCAATCCCAGAGGAAATCAGTGGACCTCCCATCCGTGTCTACTGCTGGCACGTGGACTTCTTTTATGTCCCTGCAATGGAGGGACATCTGTGGGGAATGACTCTGAAGGAGGGGCAGGAGGCAGGGAGAAGGGGAAAGAGAACAAGCTAAAAGGCCAACTGCAGAAATAACAAGACATCTTTCTGGCCCACATGGAGCCTGGTACCAAGAATACTAAAATCTTACACAGGTGCTTAAGGAGCACTCAGAGTTACCAGGACATGAGACCTGAGAGGCCCATGGAAGTGGGACTAGGTATCAGGGGACAGGACAGGAAGACAGGCTGTCACTTTTGTTTTTTGGAATCTAACATTTTTGTTTTATAAAAATTACACAGGTAACAGTTTTTAGACCTGGTCAATGACTGCAATACTGGAAGAATGGAAATCTAGCCTGGTAAATTGTTTTTACAGATGACCTTGGCTGGCCATCAGCTATTGGAGTAAATGTTCTCCTTTATTACAATAACTTAAGGGAAAAAGGTACTAAATACTATCTGCACAATGGGACCACATTAGCAGAGGCTGGGCCAAGTAAGACCATCAATTAACTGAAAAATTTTAGCACTTTCCTATTCTGAGAGAGAAGCAAATCACACGAAATGAGTATATACTGGGATTATTTAACTAAATTGAAAATAAAGTAACAATCCTAACCCCCTTAAAACTAAATTTTCGATGTCCTGGGATCACTGTAAATTTTCCCCTGAACTTCTGATGTCTGGACTGCTGATCTGTAAAATGAGGATGAGAGCCAGTAGGCTTTACTATTTATACCCCACACAGCAGCGAGGGTAATACACTAGCCTCATTTTGTCCCTTAAAAAACGTTAAATTTGTCTCCTTGCCTCTTATTTTAATTGGAAGGATCAACCACAACCCAGCCTGGTTTTAGCACTGCCAAGTCCCACATCTTGTAAAATCCCTCAATGCCAGGAAAACTGGGACAGCTGGTCACCCACTCACCTTCTTAATTCAAAGACTCTTTCCTCACCCTTTCTCTGGACCCGTCACCCTCCCAAACCACGGTTTTACAGTGCACTCCCATGAGAAAAACTAGGTACTTAGTGGAATTAAAAAGATATACACCAAAAAGTTATCTACTTTTCTAAAGTACTCAAGTTTAACTGCAGCAAATATTCCTGAAAACATTCTACCAAATTAATGATCAGTACTTGGCATCTAGCACTGTGAGGCATTGGAGAGGTTAAAGAGCATGCAAAAGAGCATTCCATTAAACACGTCCAGACCCAGCATCCCAGGAAGCAGCAGGACTGGGTGCTCGCCCTCTCCGGTCCGCTGGTAATGCAGGTGAACACCATTCACAGCTACTTTGCCAGAACTTACTGAGGTGCTGGAAAGAAAAAAAGAAAACCCCTAAAGCAAAATGATTTAGCATGCCAAGTTCACCATTTTAATATGACAAGACTGCCCTTTCACCTGCATGAGTCAGCTCCAGCACCCCTCAAGCTTTGTGGGCTATTTTCCTGGGCCTGTTTCCAACCCTCAACTGTGACATGAGCTTGCATCTTTTTTAGCAGACTGTAAATGTGAACTGTGTCTTCAGGTTTCACTCTGTTGCAGCACCCAGCCTGGTGCTCACAGTGCCAAAGCACTAGGGTTTTCTGAAGTCAGTGGGCAGAAACACACAACCAGGACACAAGCCTGGGGGCTGGAGCAACGAGCCTGGGTCTATCTGCACCTCAGCTTGGGGGCACTGCTGAGGGTGAGATGGGCCCCAGGGGTTGCCAGGAGAGCTGTGATCGAAGGCCATCCTTTAGATGTGGAGCTTCTCAGGTCAGCTGCAGGAGGGCTGTGGTCAGGGCCGTCTATCTACCTGCCCTGACGTGCCTTGCTGGTTAAGACGCTGAATACCTATTTCTGTGGTGACTGTAAAGTAGCTACACCCATAATCCCCCTCTCGAGGGACCCTCCACGATCCAGCACCTAGCTGGACTCTGTGTAGCACAGGACAGGGCCTCAGGACAGAGATGCTGCCAGTGTCTGCCCTGCCGAGTGATGTGTGTGCCCCGAAGGGTCCTCGTTAACCTCTCCACAGCTGTCCTTCTGGAAACTCCAGAACAGACTGTCCAGGGATTCACCCCCATACAGCAGCTCCCCACCAAGTGTTAGGCAGGTGCTCAACTGACATGTGCAAGGGACATGGCGGCCACGCCAGGACAGATGCTAGAGCAACCACTCTTCTAGCATGGTGTCTGGAAGTTTACATCAACCACTAACTTCCTTTCTGTTTCACATTCACCCTACCCTTACCTCTGCCCTTGGTCAAAATGATTACTGAAGTGCAGCACATGTGAAAAAACAAGGACTTGTTTCTTTTCTGGTTTCATTTGATTTGCCAACTTTAAACAAAGAATGTGGAAAACAATGGGCTGAACGCTAGCACACTGAATCTTAACACGTAAAATGTGGAAGGTTAATTTTTAGAAATTTGTAAGACAGAATTTGGAAGGCCTGACATAGCATAAGATCATTATCTACAGAAATCTTATTAGAGGAGCAATAACAAAGACCATCAACTCTGTCAATTTATTAACATCCTATTCCTTGGAGAATTCGTTTTTATTGTTAGGATGGCTGTAGATATCTTAGGAGCAAGACAGAAGCAAATAAATGGACTCTATAAATAAAGATTCATTCAACAAATGCGTGTTTATCAGCATATCTGCTTTGCTCACTATCTGGGGGAAGGAGTAAAAAGCCACGTAGGATTGCTCTGAAAACTCAGGGAGGGCTAAGCACTAATTGAGGAAAAGACTTGAGGCAGCTGGGTGGGTAAGAGTTCTCTCCAGTATTTCCTGAGTTTACTGAATTAAATGAGGTCACTCCCTGGGCGGAGCTGACTAGCATTTTACAGGGCTCACATTAGCAGTTAAGTACACAGTGCCGCCCTTGGCCTTTATTACTTTGTGGCCTAGACACGTGGCAGCGTGAATACGCTTGTAAAAGCCATTTTGCTGGGTGAGGATCTACGTAATGCGGAGCCCCTCCCCTGTCCTTCTCAATGTGCAGAGTGTGTTGGGTCTTTAAATTCTCACACCTCTCCATCTCCCCAGGGGACTGGCTCATAAGTGATTCTTTCCACTGGCTTCTGTGCTTATTCCCAAGTCTCTTCTGCAAAACCCTGACTTCTTGAATTTGGCTGTATTGGTATGATTTCCTATTCCATATTTCTTTTTCGTCCAGTCATCACCTTCCCATATTCTCTTGGTTGCCTACAAGGAACGTAGAGACAAAACTAAGAGTCCAAGGTTTAGCAGAAAGGGAACTCAACACCAGGAAGGATTTCCAAAGGCAGAAGACTTGGAAGGTGCCTCGGAGGAGAGACAGAGACAGACAACACCTGGGCTGGGTGGAGGCATCTGAGATGAACTTCCACAGGAGGCTAAAATTCTAAACAAAGGATGTGGTAGGGAGGGCATTTCTGGAAGATGAAGTCGCACAATCAAAGGCCGAGGAGCAAGGGGCACCGTGGGGACAAGCCAGTGCTCAGCCTCACAGGAGTGTGAAGACAGAACTGTGGCTGGGACCCATCAGTGAAGGGCTCTGCAGTGAGGCTCAGGGGAAAGCAAGTGCTTTGTCACCACAGCCTCTATGCTGTCGCACCAGAGGCACTGGCACCGTCACATCAGACATCCCCTGGGGAACAGAGGCTGCCAAAAACCTTTCGTGAGTCTCCAAGTGGGAAAGAAAGACAGAGGGCTATTTATGGACAAAAGAAAATTAACTTCAAAGACAAGAAAAAGGTTTATTTTGAAAGGTAACAGTTTTTGAATGCTGATTTATTTTCCCAGAAATACAAGATACACGAAAGGAGAACATTCAGCACTTCCGCTCCAACATATCAAGTGGCATCTTAGAGCAGTGTTCAGGCCTGAGACCGACAGTTAAGAGTGTGTTGTAAGAAAGTCAGGCCAAGACCAGGCCTCGAGCGACTCTAACGTGTCCTTGGTACTTGAATCACATCTGAATCTGAGGCCCAAGCTATACTTAATCAAAACCTCTGGGGCAGAAACCAGCCATGTGTATTTTAATTTCCCTGGAAAATTCTAATAAGCAAAAGGTCGAGAATGACTACTACATCTCCTGCTAAAAGCAGCCTTCCTACCCTGTACTTGTCTTGACTCCCTCTCTGGGAGTCCGGACTGGCAATCTGCTGCAACAGAAGGTGGTAAGGAACAGTGCAACCACACTGAGAGGGCTGAGCTGCTTCCCTCAAGGAGGCCGAGGGCATGGGGACAAAGTACCACAGCTTGGAGCCAGTGATTAAACCAAGTGCAGCCTTTGCACTTTGTGTCGGTGTAAGCGTTTTATTCATGTCACTCATTTCACTCTGTGGCACACATTGTACCTACCCTAATTTCACCACTGAGGAATGTGAGGACAGGTAACTTGCCCTAGTCACTGCTAGTGTTCTGCCAGGCTAAGAGGATCACCTGAAGATCTGACCCCAGACCCTCAGCCTCAGCACTTCGCTTTCAGATAAAAATGGGGCGACTTAATAAGAGCCCTCTCTTTCAAAATCCTCATCACTTATATTTGGCTTTTTCTTTTTTTTTTTCTTCAGTACCAGGAATCAAACTCAGGACCTTGCGGTTGCCAGGCAGGTGTGGTGCCACTGAGCTATATCCCTGGTCCTCAGCTATTTCTTATAAAGTAAGTATCAGCTACAACAAAGTGTTAGGAACCTGAGGACTTGAATTCATACGAATTGTGATGACTTATTCTCACTCCTTTTAATACGGTATTCTTGTTTGTGCCATTAATAATTATACTAAGTACTTACGTAGCAGGCCTTTTACACTGTTTCAAATCTTCACAAACTACAAGGAGGCCAAGAGAAGATAAGGAGCTTGTCCCCACTCACACAGCTACAGAGTGGTAACGAGTTACCGAACTCGAGGCCAAGCTTTCTAATTTCACACTGGCAATGTGCCTACCGGGGCTTAGCACTGGGGGCCACCTTCAGTAGGACTGTGACAGGGGTGACAGCAGGCACCCGGGAGGATGGGACCTGATACCTCCAGACTGCGCCCAAAGGCTGAACTCGAAAAGTACTTTCCTTGGCAGATTATTAGGTTCTGTAAATTATTAATATTGTAACGGTACACAACATACTACTTTGGGTAGCAAAGGCTTTTGACCTAATCTAGGTACAAATCCCTTTAGAGATTATGAAACAGGAAAAGGGTCAAAGTTCCAAACAACAAGCTTACAACCAAGTTTTCAACACACAACTCGGGTGTAGCTTAGATGCTGGCTGTTCGGAAACAATTTTTTTTTTTTTTTTTTTTGAGACAGGGTCTCGCTGTGTCGTTTAGGCCGACCTCAAACTCACTTGTACCTCAGGGTGGCCTCAAACTGGTAGCCATCCTCCTGCCTCAGCCTCTGCAGTGCTGGGATGACAGGTGTGCACTATCAGATACAAACATTTTACAGGAATGCTTTTGCTCCCTTGAATGGAGCTGCAGTCTTGTTTTAGAATGAACTAATACCAGTGCCTGTTTTCTCAGATTACATATCATACATTAAACAGCAGGACAAAATTCAGAGGAGCTTGTTTTTCAGAGATACGTTACCAAGACCAGTCTACAGTGCCTCCAGGAGAACAGGGCCTTCCAGCAACAATTAACCTACACATCTCTGATTTTATACAAGCGCAGTAACTGTATCTTAATCCCTTTCTGCAAACAGAATGCCCAGTTTCACTGCTGACAAAGCTTAACAAAGCTTAATAAAGCTGCGGCCACTGACATCTTTTTCCATCTGTATTGCAAATCTAATAACTCTAAAATTATTAAACAAACCTAAACCAAATACGGAGCTCAACAATTAGTCAATCGCATTATGAAAATTTAAATCTGGTCAGATTTGCCCTTTCTTCTTCCAAATTAAGTTTTCAAATCAATAGTTTCCACATTAGATCAAGTAAAGTTGTAAGTATTAGGTACCGCTCTGGCATCCCCTCCCTCAGGCACTAATCCAGCGGATCCATCCACAGTTAACTGCATATACATGCACTGTGTATGTCTGTGTGTGAATGAGTGTGTGTCTGTGAAAGCAAGCTTCAGGCTGCTCTGTTCACAATTTCTGCCCAGAATCTCTTGGGACCCATTTTCAAGACACTAGGACAGAGGATAGTCCGGATTTTTTGTTTGTTGTTTAATCTGAAAAGGGTAGGGAAAGGAAGAGAAAAATGCAGATTTTGTGCATCTCCACACACCTATGTCAGAAACTGGGAGTGAGGTCTAGAATCTTGAATTTTCAGTTTCCCAAGGTGATTCTCTTGCAAATTAAAGTTCCAGATCAGCAAACAAAAATTAGCCTCAGGAGACGCGGGACCCGCGACGTAAGCGTGGCCAGCGCGAGGAGGGCTAACGGGCCCGACACTCGGGCGGGTGTCTGATGAAAGGGGCAGGAGAGACAACTGTCCTCCTCAGGACTGGACCGGGCAACGGGCTGAGAATACGCGTGTGGCCCGCGGGCGAGTCGGCGATCAGCACCGCACTTGCCTCCCGGGTCTTCTCCGCACGCGCGTCCACAGCCGCCCGCCCGGGAGCGCCAGCGTGCCCCTCCAACGCCCCCAGACGACGCTGGCGCTCCCGCGGGGAGGGCGCCATTACCTGAACGCGGCCGCTAGCTGGGCCCAGGGGACGGGGATCCCCGGCTTCATGAGCGAGGAGAGTAGCCGCAGTCGCGACCCGCCTCCTCGCCACACGCCGGCCGCCATACCCGGTCGCTGGGAACGCGCACGAGCGGGACCCTAGGATGGCTCTCCTCTGCCCCGCCCATACCCCCCCGCCCGGAGCCCCGCCCCCGGGGAGCCCCGCCTCCACATCCCGCCCCGCCCCCGTCCGCGGAGGCCCACACTAGGCCACGCCCCGTCGGCAACGCCCCTCTCCGATGCTTGGGTCCTGAGTGCCAGCGCTGTTTCCCAGCGTGGGTGTCCCAATTGGGGTCACGCTGTCCTTGCCCGTTGCCACGGTGGCCAAAGCCCTCGAGAGGCGAGGCCACCAAGCATCCTGTCCCCACTTTGTGGGTGTCCAGGCGGGGCCTCAAACCGGCAAGCGAACCGCCCTCCTTCCCCCATGGTGGGATAAAGCACGTTTTCATTTAGGGATGATGAAGTTAGTAATTTTCCCTTTATATCATTTCCACCCACTAGGCTGGTACCTATGAAAAGCCCCAGAATTACTGTCGGCCAGGATGTGGAGAAACTGGAATTCTTGTGCACTGTTGGGAATGTAAAAGTGGCGCCGCTGCTGTTAAGAGTTTGTTTCCCTACCAAAGCTGAATACAGAATTACTGTATGATCCAGCAGTATAGCTTCTGAGTATATATCCACAAGAACTGAAAGCAAGCCTCCAGGTATTTGCCCGCCAGTGTGGGTAGCAGCTTTATTCACAAGAGCCAAAGGGTGGGGGAACCCTGGTGGCCATCAGTGGGTGAATGGATAAACAAAATGTGGTGCATCCGTGCAGTGGAATATTATTCAGCCTCAAAAAGGAAGAAAATTCTGACGCATGCTACATGGGCGAGCCCTGGGAAATTATGCCAACTGAAATAAGCCAGGTGCATATGGGATTCCTCCTACAGTCATCAAATTCAGAGACAGAATAGAATGGGGGTTTCCAGGAGCTGCCTGTGAGCAGATTAGAAAATTGGTTTTTAATAGATACAGTTTCAGTTTTGCAAGATGAAAAGAATTCTATGTATGGAAGGTGATGACTGCCCAGCACCTTGAAGGCACTTAATGGCACAGAAATGTACAGTTAATAGTGAAGATGGTAAGTTACATTTGACCACCATTTTAAGGACTGTATGATTAAAGCTGAAAGGTGATAGATATCTGTAGAGAAAAAATCAGCTATCCTTTAAGTCTGACTGCCATATTGCTGTACCTTAACTGGAAATCAGATTTGTGGCTAAGATGACCTAAGACAACAGCTTCTTACATGTTGTAGTATTTTCCTTCCAAGAGATCTTTCTGGTATGTCCTGTGTGCACAGTGTTTTTACATGTTACATGCATGGAAAGCCCTGTTACCCAGCAGAGTCCTTACTAGCCTGTTGGAGTTTCTCAAGTAGTAAAGGCAGGTTTGGCCTAAAGATTGAATATATAAAATGTTAGTATTCTACTTTCAAAATTTATCCCATTAGTTCCTGCATAGAAAGAGAACATGTTTTGAGTTAACTTTTTAAAAACACTAGTGCATGTTTGCAGTACACAATGCTCACATTCCTTGTGTGGAGTTGGTACAGGCACACAACACATCCCAATTCCCTTTATCATCCCTCTTCCTCCCACTCCTTCGCCCGCTTCCCACGTGAGAAACATCCATCTTCCCACCTCCTATTTTCAACACCCATTTTGCTCTATATTATAATTTGGGTTTCTCATACAAGAGAAAGCACACAATATTTAAGCTTGTGTGTCTGATTGATTTCACTTAATATTATGGTCTCAAGTGCATCCATTTTCCTACAAATGATTCAAATTTATCTTTCTTTATGGTAGAGTAGTACTCCGTTGTGTGTAAACACAGCATTTTTATCCATTTGTTGTCGATAGACATGTAGGCCACTTCCAAGATTTAGCTATTATGAATTGTGTTGCTATAAATACGGATACGCATGGATCACTGTAATATGATGTCTTTAACTCTTTCAGAAAGATATCTAAAAGAGGAATAGCTGGGTCAAATGGAATTTCTAATTTTAGTTTTTTGAGGAATATACATACTGATTTCCATAGTGGTTGTACTAGTTTACACTCCACCAACAGTACAGAAGGGTTCCTTTTCCCTACAGTCTTAGCATTTGTTATTAGTTGATTTCTCTGGAGTAAGATGGAATCTCAGTGTTCTTTTGATTCGCATTTCTCTAATGGCCGTCAGTGTTGAGCGTTTTTTCATGTACTTACTGTATTGGCCATTTGTACTTCTGTGACCTGTCAATTCATTTTAGTTGCCCGTTTTTTGGTTCGGTCATTTATTTTGGGGAGGTCTATTTTTTAAGTTCTTTATATAATTCTAGATATGAGTCCTCTGTCTGAAGAATAGCTAGCAATTTTTTTCCCCATTCTGTAGGTTTTCTTTTCACTCTGTTGGTCATTTCTTTTGCTGTGCAGATGCTTTTTAATTTGATATGATTCTATTTGTTGATTCTCAGTATTATTTCCAGTGTAACCGGAGTTCTGTTCAGAAAGCCTACTCGTATAGCTTCAAGAATTTTAACTATCTTATTTTCCAGCAGGATCGTGTTTCTGTTTTAACATTTACTTCTTTAATCAATTTTGATTTTAGTTTAGCACATGGTGAGAGATATGGTCTAGATCCAGTCTTCTGCATATGGATAGCCAGTTCTCCCAAAACTATTTATTAAACAGATTGTCTTTCCTCCAGTGTAAATTTTTGGCCCCTTTATCAAAAGTCAAATAGTCAAATGTGCTCTATTCTATCCTCTATTCTTTTCCATTGATCTTCATGTCTAAACATGCTGATTTTATCACTGTAGCTTTGTAATATAACTTCATATCTAAAATTGTGGAGCCTCCTGCTTTGCTCTTGTTACCCAAGATTGCTGTTGCTATTTTGAGTCTCTTCTGGTTCCATATGAATTTTAGCAATGTCTTCTCCAGTTTGGGGGAGAATGCTGTTGGTATTTGATTGGGACTGTGTTAAATCTGAATACCAATTTTGGAAGTATGGCCATTTTGACTATACTGATTCATTTCCATTTTCTGATGTCGTCTTTGATTTTTCTCTTTCAGCATACTATAGTTTTCATTGTAGAAATCTTTCACATCCTTAGGTTAATTCCTAAGTATTCACTTTTTCTTGGTGCTATTGTGAATGGTATTTTTTCCTAATTTCTTTCTTAGTGGGTTCATTATTAATATAGAAGAACACTTGATTTTTGAGTGTTGATTTTGTATCTTGCTACATTACTGAATTTCATTATTAATTCTAAGAGTGTTTTGACATTTTTGGAGGTCTCTATGTAGAGGATCATATCATCTGCAAATGCTAGTCTGATTTCTTATTTTCCTATGAATATCCCTTCTGTTTTTTTTTTCTTGCCTATTTGCTGATGCTAATTTTCTGAGTACCATATTCAACAGGAGTGGTGATAGTGAACATCCTTCTCTTGTTCCTGTTTTTAAAGGGAAAGCTTTCAGTTTCTCCCCATTTAATATGATGTTAACAGTAGGTTTGTCATGAATGGTGTTTATTAGATTAAGAGAAGGTTGTTCTATACCTACTTTCTTTTTTATCATGAAAGGATGTCTATCAAAGGCTTTTTCTGTGTCTGTTGAGTTGATCGTGTAGTTTTTGTTCTGGCTTCTGTAAATGATGTATTACATTTATTGATTTGAGTATGTAGAGCTATCCTTGCCTCCCTGGGTTGAAACCTACTTGGTCATGATGTGATTCTGGTGATTTGTTGGATTGTTTGCTAGTCTCTTGTTGAAGATTTTTGCATCTGTGTTCTCTAAAGGATGGCTGAAAGTTCTCTTTTTTGTCTGATTTTGAACAAGGCAATGCAAGTTTTTGTAGAATTCAGCAATGAATCGATCTGGATATGGCTTGTCTTACTTGGTAGGGTTTTTAAAATTATTATTATTAGTGCTTTAATTTCATTGGCTGTTATTAGTTTGATGTTTTTGTTTTTGTTTTTTTGTACTGGGGATCGAACTCAGGACCTTGCACTTGCGAGGCAGGCACCGTGCCACTGAGCTAAATCCCCAGCTAGTTGCCCGTTATTGGATTATTCAGGGTTTTTAAAACTTCTTAGTTCGGTTAGGATAATTCATATGTATCTAGGAATCTATTCATTTCTTCCATATTCTCTAATTTATCGGCATACAGGTTCAAGAAGTACAGTAAGTCTCCAACTTACCATTCTGAGAGAATATTCCTAAGCCAGATTCGTTGGCAAGTCTGGCAAGGTGAGTCTTACACTGCATTTGTGCTTTTGTTTCATGGTCATTGCTTTGTGTTTCTAGCAGCCCCTCCCCACCATCACTGCTTTTCCTCTTGCTTCCAGACACCCTGGGCTCTGATTGAGCACTGTATCGCGGTGCACTGTCGCACTGTACAGCAGGCACACAGCAGCACAGCTGTGACGGTGTCTGACAGACATGTGAGCCACTTCTGCGATTCCTTCACATCTATGAATGTTAGTCACACGAAGTCCATTTGTATCTGTGAAAATTTGGAACTTGAATGTTCGTGAGTCAGGAACTTACTTTAGTTGTTAATCTTTTTTATTTTGACAGTGTCTGTTGTGAGTTCATCTTTTTCATTTAAAATTACATTGGTGTGTGTGTCTTTTCTCTTTTTATGGTTAGATTAGCCAAGGGTTTGTCTATTTTGTTTCTTCTTTTGAAGAACCAACTCTTGGATTCATTGATTCTTTGGGGTTTGGTTTTCTTTTTGGGGGGGGAGGTTTATTAATTTCTGCTCTGACCTTTACAATTTCCTTACTTGTACTAGCTTTGGGTTTGGATTATTCTTATTTTTCTAAGACCCTGAAGTATGCCATTAAGTTATTCATTTGGGGCTCACTCTGTTTTTGTGATGTGGGCATTCACAGCTATAAATTTCCCTCTTAGGACTGCTGTCATTATGTCCCAGTGTTAGTCCCAATAGCAGAACATAACCAAAATTGTACTGGCATCATTTTTTAGTTCTAGAAACTATCTAACTTTTGTATTTCTTCTGTAACTCATTGTTTGTTTAAGAGTGTATTGTTTAGTTTCCGTGCATTTGCATAATT